TCCCAATAAACCGGCGTTCCAACCACAACACCAGCTTCCGTGACCAGTTGTTCCTGGTGCACTTCACGAAGGGATCCACCAGTCTAGCGGCTCTGAGATCCAAAATCCGGGACCTGTTTCAGGTCATCATCAGTTGGGAGCATTACAAATCCCAACATCGTGATGTTACGCAGTGTATGAACTGCCTCTCCTACGGCCATGGCACCAAAAACTGCCATATGAAGACTATCTGCGGCAAGTGTGCTGGAACTCACTCGACTGCGTCCTGTGAGCAAGATGATGACATCGAGCCAACGTGTGTCAACTGCAGTGGAAACCACCAAGCCTCCAATCACGGATGTCCCAAGCGAGTGGAGTTCATCAATATCCGTCGGAAGGCTACGATCAATAATCAGCCCGGTCGCCTCCGTAATCATCGTTCGCCTCCTGCACGCACGGAAGTCCAGTATCCAGCTCTCCAGCCCCGTCGACATGTTCCGAACTTAGTCCCACTTCCGCTCAACAACCAACAAGTCAAGCATGTGAGTATTCCTAACGATCGAACAGTCCAGCATCGTCTCGCTGCTGCTGCTGCCCAGCCAATGCCAGGTCCCTCCACCGCCCCTGGTTTATCATACGCTGGTGCTGTCTCAGGTGAGCCTGTCGACGATTCTCCGTTCACCTCGGAGGAACTTGTGACGCTCGTGGCCGAGGTCATCATCATCTTGCGAACCTGCAAGACTCGATCTGAACAGCTTCATGCTGCCCTGTCCCTTGTCACTAAGTATGGACCGTGAAGCCATCAAGATCGTAAATTGGAACGCTTGCTCCTTGAAGAGCAAAAACATCGAGTTTGTTGAGTTTCTCAATGAACGAAACATCGACATTGCCATCATAACTGAAACCCACCTGAAGCCTGAAACAAACGTCTACCTTCCCGATTTTCGGCTCGTGAGGCTAGATCGAACCAACTCTGGAGGAGGAGGAGTGGCTATTGCACTAAGGAGAAACATCTGCTGTCGACTGATGCCCAGCTTTCAGCTGAAGATCATCGAAGCCGTAGGGGTGGAAGTTTCTACTCCTATCGGCCCCATCATCATCGTCGCGGCTTACTGCCCCAAACAAGTCAACATCAGGGACGGATCGGCAGCTGATCTGCGACGAGATATTATCAAGCTAATACGACGACGGGAAAACTTTATCATCGATGGCGACCTGAACGCCAAACATCAAGCTTGGGGCAACAATCGGCGCAATCAAAACGGCACCATCCTGAACAACGACCTGCAGGAAGCGCAGTACAACATCTTGAGTCCGGAAACTACCACCCGATTGAGTCGGTCCGGTGTTCACGCTACCATCGATATCTTCATCAGCAACATGGCAACAACATCGCTCAACCTATCACCTATCAGGAACTCAGCTCGGACCCCTACCCGGTGGTGACTGAGGTGGGATCCTCCGTAAATCGATTTGAAGCTTTCCAGCGCAACTATCATCGTGTTGACTGGGGTCAGTTCCAACATTGCGTCGACACCGCTGTAGACTACGATGTCCAACCGGAATCGTCCGAAGATGTTGACCGGTGTCTGCGCTCCATCGATCAAGCAATTTCCCGGGCCAGGGAGCTACATGTGCCAGTATCCAGACAGGTGAATAATACTCTGAACCTTGACAGGCCTACTAAAGACCTCATTAGACTCCGCAACACGATTCGTAGGCAGTACCAGCGTACTGGGCTGCCTAACCTGAAGACCGATTGCAACCGTTTGAACAAAATCATCCAAGCCAGGATGGTGGATCTCAGAAATATCGATTTTGCAAACAAGATTCGCTCTCTCCCAGATTGTGCTAAGCCATTCTGGAAAATGGCAAAGATTTTGAAAAATAAGCCAAGGCCCATTCCTCCCCTTTCCTCTCCTAACCAAAATTCGGACCCATCTTTACTAATAACCCCATTTGAAAAGGCCAATGCTCTTGGACAACACTTTGAAAATTCACATAACCTTGGCCACGCCATGGTGAGTCCCCACGAGCCTGCAGTATCACAGGCAATGGCTAGTGTCGCTGCCACCCCCGTAGTTGTCCCTGACGAAAGTAGAATATCGGCTGATGAGGTGATAGCAGCGATTAAATCAACAAAGAACATGAAGGCCGCTGGTGTCGATGGAGTGGTCAACCTCGAGCTGAAAAACTTGAGTGTTGACTTCTTCAAGCACCTTGCAGTGGTCTTCAACAAGTGTTTAATGCTTGGCTACTTCCCTGCATGCTGGAAGTTAGCCAAAGTTATTCCAATTCACAAACCTGGCAAAGACCCTACCAGTGCCAAAAGCTATCGCCCCATCAGCCTCTTGTCATCCATCTCGAAGCTATTCGAAAAACTGATACTCAGCCGTCTGCTGGTGTTTTCAAATGATAATAACATCTTTCTCAAAGAACAATTCGGATTTAGGAAAGGCCACTCTACCATCCACCAACTCGCACCGGTTAGTAACATCACCAAGCGGAACAAGTCCGTTTCCAATACATCTGCCATGGCATTGTTGGACGTCGAGAAGGCGTTCGACAATGTCTGGCATGATGGCCTAGTGTACAAGCTGCATCGATACAACTTCCCGATCTTCCTCGTGAAGATCATCAAAAACTACTTGTCGGGCAGATCATTCCAGGTCTACTTGAACAATGTCCCCTCTGATACGTTCAACGCTGATGCTGGGGTTCCCCAGGGTAACCTCCTTGGTCCTATCCTCTTTAACATCTTCACGTCAGATGTTCCTCCCCTTCCGGGTGGTGGTATTTTGTCAATGTTTGCGGATGACACTGCCATCATCTATAAGGGTCGAGTGATCCGTGCTCTGACAAGAAAACTCCAATCAGGCCTGGATGTTCTGTCCGACTATTTTAAAAGCTGGAAGATTTGTATCAATGCAGCTAAAACACAGACCATCCTGTTTCCACACTCCAATTCACCCCGGTTTGTTCCGCCTGCTAACTCAAAAGTCCACCTTGATAACACTCCCATTGAATGGTCGAGTGAAGTCGTCTACATTGGTCTCACCCTTGACAGCAAGTTGCTATTCCGGTCCTATGTGGACAAAACATCCACCAAGTGCAACATCTTGATTAGGTCGCTCTACCCACTTATCAACAGGAAGTCCACCTTTTCCCTTAAAAACAAGCTTGCCATCCACAAGCAAATCATCCTCCCCACCATTGAGTACGTAACGCCAATCTGGGAGAGTTGTGCTATGTGCCATCACCTCAAACTCCAAAGGATCCAGAACAAGATCCTTAGGATGATCCTAAACAGTCCTCCACGGACCCGCAATTCTGAGGTCCACCGCCTGGCTGGCCTTCAGCCTCTCGAAGAGCGACGAACGGTGTCCATGGAAAGGTTCAGAGACACCTGTCTGAGATCAGATCATCAGATCATACGTGATCTGGCACGTTAGGTTAAGTTAGAGTCGTAGTTAGGTAGGTTATCAAATTTTTCAATTAAAACAAAACACACTCCCCAAGGGGTATTCTGCTAACTAGATGAAATACGCAAATAGTAAATTATCCAATTATCCAAATATCCAATGAACAAAGATGAAGAGCCAGATAGGCTAATCAATTAACCTGTAAAATCAATGTATAAATCATAAACAACAGAAATAAACGAACATATTACTACTACTCGTTGACAACATTCTTGTAACTAACTTTGGTAGCGATGGACATCAGCAGCAGCAGCAGCAGTAACAATATCAGCAGCAGCAGTAATGGAAGCGGAGCAGCATCACTGATGTGTGAAGCTGTTGTACCTGATTAACGGCTTGCTGTTTGTTCAGACATATGGCTGAGGCTGGAAACCTCGGTCAGGTCACGACACCTGGGTCTGTAGTTGGATCTTAACCTTCAATTTTCAGTCTTCGTGGTTAGGTATATCAATATTGTCGAAAAAAAAACAATCACGAATCTCTGTGATCAATTTCAGTTCGAAATTTGACGATAAGTTTAGCAACTATAATTCACAATCGTGATAGCAACGACCGGTGCGTAAACAAGTTGCTAACTAAAATAGCAATGGCTAAAGTTGTCAAACTAGCAGCCCGAATAGCAACGCATTGGTGCGGGTGCTCTTAGTATTCCTTGTAGTACTTACACAGTTATTGAGAGATTTCTATGCCAACCAATGCACCAAAGATTGAATACTTCAGAATGCACAGATGATGAATGCATGAATGCACAGTAGGCAAAATCGAGCAAAAAATACGGAACTTATTTTTGCCGCTTTACGAGGTCCCTATAAAACTAGCTATTCTTATGTGAAAAATCACAACACATTGATTGGTGATGGTTTCATCGACGGCAGATAACGAGAAGTGTCATATTTTTGCTCATTTATCCTATATTTACTATTGATTTGATGATATCTTCGTATCATGTGCCGTTCCTCAAATCTTTATGGGTTTCTGCTGAAATGAATGTGAAAATGTATGTTTGCAGGTACATTGCGATGGTTACTTCAGTTGAGTATTAGTACAAGACACTGAAGAAGTCTGCACCTTGACGTATCTGTCAAGGATAAGAAAATAGGGTCTCTCTTTCTCTAGATAGAAAGCAGAAGATTTTTCCGAATTCTCCAAGAGTCTCCAAAAGTTTTTTCGACATCCCGGAAGTTTCGTCGGACTTTCATGATTAGTCTTTTGGCTTCACATGAAAATGTCTGATTTCCCCAAAAGTTGTTTCTGGCTTCCCTTTTTCTGATTTTCTCGGAGAGATCATCCGATTCCCCTGGAAGGTACTTCTAGCTTTCTCTTAACTTTCTCAATTATCTTTGGACTCCTCTGGGAAATTTCTTGTAACTTTCACCTAAAAATCTTTCTAAAATTGTTTCGCGGGAAAATCGTACAGATTCCCGGCAATCGGAAAGCGTTACTTTTGGTTAATTTTTCGGGAATGGTTTCCCGTTCCAGTTATTTTTGACAGTCTGAAAAAGAACGTATCAATCAAAAACGATAATCAAGTTAACTCACCGAATAACAAGCGGGAACACATTGTCCGGTTCCGGGGCGCGGAAGTCTCTGTAGTACAAGAGGAACGGATTCTTGCTCTCCACAAACAGTGGCGGGATTCCGCCTCCGGTCGCCGACACTATGCTAATGTCCGCACAGTTCCTAAACGTTTCCGGCTTTCCGCAACCCACTCCTTCCGTTCCGTTGTCACACCGGCCCCACATGTTCCCCGTGTAGTAGGTCCACTGCAGAACACACTGGGTGCAGGTCACCCGGCGAGGTAGCTTCACCCGGTACCGGAAGATTTCCTTCTTGCCCGACTCCGGAGGAATCGTATAGCGGACTTCGCTCGTCCCCGTCAAATAGAGCGGGTACCGATCGAAGCACTCCTGCGTTGCCTCGTAGTATGCATTGTTGTTCGGACACAGGAACAGCTCAAACCGCCCCATGTGGTTCGCCGTCAGCTCAATCTCCACGTCAATCTCCTGCCCGGCAAAGTACCTCCGTGTAATTATACCCTTGCCAAACTCTCCACCGGCTTCGTGCGGCCGGGGACTTCGCAGATGGTACGCATCGCCGCACACTCCACACTGGCCCTGGTTCTGTTCCCACTGGACGGCGTATCCTCCACAGAACAGCTCGTTGTCGTTGTAGTTGACCGAGTTGGGGAATCCGAAGCGCCACATGGCATTCCGAGCCGGGGGTTCCATCAGCCGACCATGGCCTAAGACCACGGCGCAACCACACAACAGCTGCAGTAGCAGCAGCTGGAACGTGATGGTGTCCCTTTTGGGTCGCATCTGTAAGGTGAGAAAATATAAATTAATTAATTGCTTCTTTTACAGATGTTCATAATGAAACTGATCGGGCTAGTCGTTTGGATTGGGATCATTTGCTCAATCCCGGCAAACGAAGCGATCGATAGTAAGTATCTTCCTCATGATTGAATTCACGAAAATCACAAAACATGCTTTCATTCCAGCTCCCCCGTACTGCGATCACCACACGACCATAACGAGCCAGTACGAAGACTACTTCAACATCGACGAAATGGGCAACAACCGCACCGATAAGGTCGTCGTGGATCTCATGCTCTACGTCCAGTTGTCCAACATGCAGGAGGAGATCGCTCTCCTCCTATCGGCCGCCAACCGATCCCATCAGTATCCGGACTACGAGAAAACCTACGAGATCCGCATCAGCAACGTCTACACCGTAATATACAAGGAAACCCTGCGGATGTCCGCCCATCACAGCCATTCGTTCAACTTCTTCCCGGCGGAGCACTTTCAGGTGCACATCAAAATCACCCGCAAAGGCATGATCACGGTCGTGATTGACGGACTGGCCAAGCCAATTCTGTCCGTAGTGGACGAAAACCCCGCCATCGACGTGCACTTTGCCAGCTTTGGATCGCGGATGAATGCCTATCCGATCACGTGGTCCTTCAACTGTCGATCTCCACCGACGACGACCCTCCCGACGACGGAGCTGGCTGGCGAGAACGAAGGCCCAGGGCACTTTAGTCAGCTCGATTCGGGAGAACTGGATGAGAACAAGTGTCCCGTTTGCCCGAGGCCGGCCAAGTGCGAAGTGGTCGTCCGGGCCTGTTCCGATAACTCGCAGGATTTGCTGAAGATGACCGACGCCGAGAAGCAAAAGTACTTTTTCTATTTCAACGTGTACTTGAGCAAGAACGCTAAGAACGGAAAGGCAATTGCGTCGGATTTTAGCAATAACAACTTAATTGATTAGAGGGGGTAAGGAAACGATTTCGAGGACATATCGATCGATGGGCATATCTCACATGGCAATGAATTCTTCCAGTTTTGAAATCTTGATCAATTTTAGAAACTTATCTTTTCCAATCGTAGATTGTCGTTCTAAGTAGATTTAGGTAGTAGGATAAAATTAGAAAATCTTAAACTTCTCTCACGTGTTTTGATCTTAACTGTGTAGTTCATGTTATCGATTAATCCAGTATGATAGTTTTGATGATAGTTTCCATTTTGCAATCTCTTCTAGTACAATGATAATAAAAAAAGGACAATAATTGAAGCTCAAGCAAACGAAAAAGGATGGAATTTGTCGAAAGAAACCCTTCCAGGATTGCCTATGGTCAATAAGCCTGTATTGAAGCTGAAGATGCTGGGACACGTTTTCAGACGGAATTTATTTAAATTCAAAGTACAGTGTATCTCAAAATTGAGCGTACATCTGTTCGTAGATTTTAGAAAAAAAAAACAACTTAAAGAGCACAACTAATGCGCTCTGTTGTCCAGTGTTGGCAGTGCACACCACATAGTCCCCCCAATTACACCAGGAACCTGACTCTATGTCCTGATGGTGTAATTTTTGTATTCTGATCTGGTGATGGATGCTCACTTATACTTTGATCGCAAATGAAAGCTGGTTTTCACGTCCATGTACTTCTCATACCGCTTCACTACTGCAAATGGTCCTTCATACGGTTGCACCAGAGGCCTCTTGACTGCGTCGATCCTGACAAAGACGTGGCTGCACTTGTTAAGCTCGGGGTTTACGAACACGGCTGGTTTTGTACTTGTTTCAGCTTGCTAAACGTGTCTCGCAATTGCTTGGCGAAATCCGTTCGATTGATATCCTGGCTTGAACGTTCTAGAAACTCCATTTGATTGTGGGTGGTATGCCATTGTTCGGATGTGTTTGGAACCCATTGCTTTAGCCAATTCACAAAACAGCTCAGATTCGAATTGCCTTCCTTGATCCATGGTGACTGTTTCTGGTACGCCGAAACGAGAAATTTAGATAACGCACATAGCCCGAGCGACAGTTTTAGCAGTCATGTCTTGAAGTGGTACGGCTTCAGGCCATCGAGAAAAACGGTCGATGATTGTTAGTAGATAGCGGTTGCCGTTCGATGGTGGCAACGGTCCTACAATATCCACATGAACATGTCGAAAACGGCTGTTTGGCAGAGAAATACTCTGAAGAGGAGCTACTGTGTGGCGATGAATCTTGGAACGTTAGCATTGTAGGCAGTACTGCACGAATAACTTAATGTCCTTGTTCATGTTCTTCCATACGAACCGATCCACTACAAGTCGTCGAGTAGAACGCACTCCTGGATGAGCCAGACCATGGACATGTTGAAGAACCGCGTCACGATGCTGAGGTGGAACATATGGTCTTACTTTGTTTTGTGACACATCACAATACAGGGGTCATGATGCTAAAGCTGTCTGACGCAATTCCAGTTTCAACGCAGAAGACGAATCCAGCAGGTCTTGCAGCTCGTTGTCAGCGACTTGATCAGCAGCAATTTTGTCGTAGTCAATCGGTGTGGGAAGAGAAATGGTTTCTGTTCTGGATAAGGCTACCTGCTACCACGTTGAACTGTCCGCTGATATGACGAATATCGTTCGAAAATTCCGAGATGAAGCGCAAGTACCGCTCCTCGCGTGGAAAACGACTGCTTGGACTTGAAGCCAAAGCGTGTGTTAACGGCATGTGATCGGTGTAAATAACGAATCTCCTTCCTTCCAGCATATGACGAAAGTATTGCACCGACATCTTCATCGCTGTCAGCTCTCGGCCAAACGTTGAATATTTCACCTAATCCGGCGAGAACTTTCCGAATAGAAGCCCAGTTGCTGCCGTTGCGCCTGCTGCAGTATTTGATGCATCGGTAAGTAAACTCAACGGTTTCGAGGAATCGGGGTAATGCAAAAGTGCGGTTTTCGCTAGAGAGATTTTGCATTGATCGAACGCTTTTCTGGCAATATCGGTCCAAGCTATTTTCCGACAATCGTTCTTTTTTATTTCCAGGAATTAGCTTTCGGAGATCAGCCTGTAGATCAGACGCGTGCGCGACAAACCTCTTGTAACAGTTCAGTAATGCAAGGAATCGTCTCAATTCTTTCACGGTGGAAGGGATTGGAAAGTCTGTAACTGCCTTGACTCTATCCGGCAAGGGGAGGATTCCATCCTTGTTCACCACGTATCCAAGAAAGTTGACACTACTCTCCGCGAAACAGCTTTTGGCGACGTTTATAACAAGACCGTAGGATTTTAATCGTTGAAATACGGCCGCCCGGTGTGTGTGTGACGCGGTACAAATGTCGTCCACAAATACCACCACAAAATCCATATCGCTGAAAACTCTGTGCATGAACCTCTGGAATGTGTGGCTAGCATTGCATAGCCCAAACTGCATTCGAGTAAACTCATAGAGGCCGAACGGGGCTATTACTGCAGTCTTGGGTATATCGTCCTCCTCCACAGGTATTTGATGATATGCTCTTTCCAAATCCAGGGTTGTGAATATGATTTTTTCCCCCTGGAAGGCGTTAAGCAAGTCGTGAATATGAGGTACGGAGTATCGATCTGTCACAGTCACTTTATTTAGCGCTCGATAATCTCCCACAAACCTCAATTCACCGGCCTTTTCCAGAACGCAGAGAAGTGGGCTCGACCAACAACTGCTGGAGGGACGACAAATGCCGAGATCGATCATAACCTGAAACTCTTTCTTGGCAGCACTCACCTTGTCCGGAGCCATTCGACGACACTTGTTTGCTACCGGTTGCCCTTTCGTCTGTATGTGATGAGCAACGTCGTGTTGCACTGCTGTTTTTATCATTGTCGGTATGGTGACTTCCCTAAATTCTGACCAAAGTTCTCGGAACGGCAACTACTGTAACGCTGTGAACGGATGCATCAGTCAAACCTCCAGTCGACGAAAGCTTAGTTAGACCATCCATAAGGCGGCGGTGTTTCAGGTCTACCAATATACCGAACGTTGCGAGAAAGTCAGCACCGGTAATAGCAACTCCCACATCTTTCACGAGGAAAGGCCAAGTGAAGCGCCGATGTAATCCTAAATCTGCTGTGACGTATCGCTTATCGTACACTTTAATTCTTGATCCGCCGTTTCGAGCGAACGAGATTCTAGTTTTTTGGATTGTACTTACAGGGCTCACGGCATTTCAAAGCACGCCCCTCAAACTTCCGGTGGAACCAGCATATTTCGTCGTCTGTCACTAGGCTTGATCTCGATGTGGATCGACTTCTGGAAGCACCTCTCGACGATTTGAGGTTATGTATTTCTGCTGTCAATGCCGCAATTTGGCTTCGAAGCTCGGCGACGGCATCTGTTCCGGAGGAGCTGATGGAGGCTGCGGTGACGTGCGACGATGGAGACTCAAGCACTTTGTCTGCCATCTCGGCGAGTTTCCCGATGGTGCCATCACTGATAGCGAGAACGGTTTTGACACTCGGTGGCATCCGCTGGAGGAACAGCATTTCCAGCAAACAATCCGTAACATTCAGGCCCGCAGCAAGTTCCTGCATTTTCGCCAGAAGATGTGTGGGACGCATGTCTCCGAGGACGCAAGCGTTAAAAAGTTGCTCCAATCTTCCTTGCGCTGACACTTGGAATCGGGAAATCAAACGCTGCTTGATGGCTTCGTATTTGTTTTCCTCCAGCGGGTTTGTGACCAAGTCCGCTACATGGCATATGACAGAGCAAACTGTGCTCACGGGATCATTTTTTCAGAAATCTGGAAGTTTTACTGCAACTCCAGCGGTAACAGCAGCGTTTTCCTCTGTCATTTTGTGAATCTTCGGTTTTCGTTGTTTTCCGCGTCGCGATATCACGCCGGTTCACCAGTGTGGGGACCGGAAGGAGAATTCCGCGATAGAATAAATCGAAAACGTTTGTGACTTTACAACGTGTTTATTTCTCCCTTGTCCCAAACTTACTGACTAAAATCAACATGGTCGCTTTTGATGCAGGGGTGTATCCAGGTGCGCGCTGTTGTCCAGTGTTAACAGTGCACACCACAGGCTTATTTGGATGAGTGTGTGTACACACTTCTGCTTAGTTGATGCAGCCCAATTACAGACATTTCTGAAATTGACAGACTTCTGAAAAAAATCTGGCATCTCTGCCGTGACCAAAACATTTACCGATCAAAGTGACATGCTTATACTAAAAAAATATATTTTAATATGTAGTATTGAAAATATCTGAATTAAACTTGTGTTAAGTATTGTTGGCATTTTACAAACGATTAATTTTTCAGCTAATAATCTTCAGTTTCAGTTGCGAAATAAGCTATTACTAGCTTAAAATTCAATCAACCTAAATAATATTTACAGGATAATATTCATTATTATTTTATCAAGTACATGTCAAATCTATTGGAAAAACATCAACATGTTCAACAATTGGATCGCATTTAGGCGATCCTGTACTGAATTATTGTCTATGGGGATATCGCCTAACTGTATGCAAAGTTTCGATAAAACGTGCATAGCACAAATCAGCAAGCCGAGAAAAACACGTGTCAAGTTAGCTTCGCTCCATCGTTTCTTATGAAATGAAACAAGCCGTTCTCCTGTTTTTCCAAACTTTTCCCGAACAAAGTTGTTGAGTTCGTACTTGCGATGAGCGGCAGAGCTGCTGCGTATATTTTCCGTCTATGGTTGACCGGTTCAATAAAATTAATAACATAACTCATATTGTGAGTAATAAATACCGGATAGTTACGTTCAGTCATCTATCAAAACTAGTGAAGGATTCTTCTTGATGAAAAATTGCATTCTATGATGCATTTAGCCGAGGGGGGCGACAAATCTAAATCTCAAGTTAAGATGCTCAACAAATCTCACACTAGCGAATAAATCTTCGAAAAATCTTCATTCATTTGTCGCATCTACTTGCATCGTGCATCATCTTTTTGCAGAAAATGTTCAGAATCGTCATCAATCTTCTTTCTATCTTCTCAGCGTGCGCGCAGCTAGCCACAGCAAAACACAATCTTTTCTGCATATTTTAGTGGTGTGCCAAGGAGAGCTAGGTCTTGTGCTAAGCCAGATTTTCACACCAAAATCCAGCAGTAGCACCAACCGGTGGAAACTAACGATTTTAATTTGGCACTCACTTGACTTGCCTATCGGTCCCAAGTACATCGATCAACGCACCCCATTCTAGTCGAAATTCCAGTACTACACTTTATTTTTTTGATTCGCTATGAAAGTTTGACAGGTAAAAAAAGAAGTTCGTGAATTTTCCTACGTTT